TGACGGCCGCAAGGGACGATCTGGGCCGCCCCAGAGCGCTTTCGGCGAGCCGCAGCTGCGGGAGAGCCTCCGGAGGCTGGAAAGCGAAAACGTTTGAAAACCTCGAACCATGACCCCCGACGTCGTGATTTTTTCGCAGCGTCGCCCCTCAGAGGTCTGGACCCCTTCCCCGGGACCAGTTTTTCAACCTTAGTCGTTTTTTGAAGGTCCCAGGGCTCGGTGAGGGCCCCCAGAGGCCGAAAATAGTGAAAAGCCTCCCGTCGTGATGTTTTCACAACGCGAGGGGGTGGGAGCGTCGAGCAAACAACACACTCCGACCGAGGGCCTCTTCCCCAAGACGTGCGACGTGCCGCAGTGCAACCTCGGCGCCGGCGCGCCCGTGCAGGCCCAAGGCCTCAAGGTCGGCGTGGTGCTCAGCGGCGGGCAGGCGCCTGGCGGCCACAACGTCGTGGCCGGGATCTCATGGGCGGTCGAAGTGGCCTCCCTTCCTCCTCCTTCCCCTTCTCCTCTTCCCCTCCTCCTCTTCCTCCTCCTCCTCCTCCTATTCTTCTCCTCCTCCTCCTCCTCCTGCTCCTCCTGCTCCTCCTCTTGCTCCTGCTCCTCCTCCTCCCCCTCCTCCTCCTCCTGTTCCTCCTCCTCCTCTTCCTCCTCCTCCTCCCCCTTCTCCTGCTCCTTCTCCTCCGACAGCATGTCCTGTTCGTTTTGAGCAGGGTCCATTTGAGACAGACTGCCCAATGGCGGCCGCTGTCGGTCTCGGACCACGCTTGTGTCTGCGGCAGCGTGCCCGTTTTTCCGTACCGATCCCGGGCGTCGCGAGGATCTACGACGCCGTGAAGCGCACCGGGGCGGGCTCCGAGTGCTACGGGTTCCTCGACGGCCCCCACGGCCCCTCGGCGGCGCTCAACCCCCACCTCCTCTCACAGATCCCCTCGCGTGGTGAGGCAACTGCGATGCGATGCGACCACCGTTGCGGACAGCGTCCGGGCCTAGAGCAGACCAGGTGGGTGAGGCCATGGCCTTTAGGATCTGAGGTGTCTGGATTCATGCAGTGCGAGACGTGTAAAAGGTTTGGAGGAGAGGGGGGGGAGGAGGAAAAGAAAGTCCTTGGTGTCGGTGTCCGCGAGGGTTGGGCGAGACTTTTCGACGTTCGCGGAGATTTTACGTCATTGGTCTGAGTCCCCTCGCGTGGTGAGGCAGTCGCGACGGGCAGTTTTTCGCAAGTTTCGGCCTCGGGGAGCTCTCGCCAGACCCAGGGACCAGCAACACTGGACTCGGGGTGAAAAGCCGGTCCCCGGGAGTGGTTCGAGATCTTTGGGTGTGGGCGCTCGCCGCGACAAGATCACGACGGGCGGTTCTTGACAGTTTTCGGTTGTCTGGGCCCAGTACCTGGCCCCGGGGACCGTCCAGTTACGCCAGGGTGGCAGAAGGCCCTGAGCGGCATCGTCAGAAGGTACAGAAAGCATCATGCTGTGCTGTATTTTTTTTGGATTCGCGGGTCGAGAGCGCGCATCTTCCGGTCGAAGCTAAGCGGGCCGCGCGAAGCTTGAATCAACAAAGAGGGGGCGGGCATTATGCTGTACTGTACATGCGGGAGGCCATGCGGGAGAGCATTCGGGGGAGCACGCAAGAGACCACGCGGGAGACCATCAAGGGAGGCCACCGGGGAGCCCCTGCGGGAGACCCCGCGGGAGACCGTACGGGAGACCATCTGGGGAGGAGACCGTCAAGCCATCGTCTTCTGGGGCCGGCAGCGCTCCTCTAGGCCCTTCTTCCGGGTATGGCCAAGACCCCAGGTAAGCGGACCCGGTCAGTGGTAGGGCCCTGGAGCCCCTGAACTGTCCAGAATCACTAGGCCAGGTTTGCCGCAGCTGGTGTTTTCTCGGGTGACGGCAGTTCCGGTTAGTGGAACGGGGCGGGGGGGCGTTCTCCAGTACACATGACTAAACCAGGTCCCACTAAACCCGGTTCTGCCAACGCCCGATTTTTGCGAGCCGCGTCCGTGTACGGAAAACCGATTCGTGATGCAAGAATGAAGTCGGGCATGTCCCTTACAGGAGGAGTATTCAAACATAGTAAAAACGAACTGTCAGGTTACGATTTTTCGATTTATTTTGGGCAATGTTCGAAAATGTTTAGATTTGTTTTTAAAGTTTTCCTTCCGGGATCCGCCTGTAGGAGGGCATGCCCGACCCAATGCAAGAACAGATCCCAGGGAAGAGGACCAGGCCTCAGCGGGTCAACGTTTTGCGAAAAGTTAACGACGTCGGAGTACTGGGACGGCCCAGCTGTCGCCGATCAGGGTTTCGGGTTCTCCAACATGCTCCGACCTGCCTCGGTGGGATCGACGTGAACAAGAACACGACGGCGGAGTTATCTCCTTCCGTACGCGTTTGTGGCTTAGGGTGTCGAGAGGGAGAGCCTTCGACTGAAGCACGCTCAATCGGGCTAGGTGCGCCCCAAATACAACAAACAAGCAAACAAACAAACAAACAAACAACAA